ACACTGGGTGGCTGAGAGCATTCCCTGGGACAGATTTGTTTTTAAAATCACAAAGCAGGAAGGGAAGGGGGCAGGCTGGGTGGAGGGAGGATAATTGGTGGGACCACACCTCTGGTGCATTTTAGAAGGGTACGTGTTAAATTTACTAAGTGTAGAATACAAATGTCTTAACACAGTAACTAAGAAAATGCAGTGAAGGCTGTTAACCAGTTTGATGAAAATATTTCAAATGGTATATAAAACCAGCACATTATACCCCATGATTGCATTAATGTACACAGCTATGATTTAATTAAAAAAATAAAAACCACAAAGCAATAGAAAGGAAAGGCAGAGGACTTCGTTTTTCTTTGACCTGTAAATATCTTTTAACTTGTTCCACCCTCTTTTTCTTTTAGGTCTGGTAATATGTGTCTGTGTTTATTTTCATGACTATGTTAATGCGAAACCTGATTGAAAGTCCTTCTATGAAATGAGCACAAAGCCCTGGGGGAAAGGAGAGAGAATCCTCACAAAAGCACGTGATCTGTATTTCACCGACTACTTATCCTTCCCCTCCAAAAATTACATATTCCACATTTCCTTCTCAGAGATTTTCCTAAATAATGCCATGATGTTTCAAACTTTCACATACATCTACCCACCATACTGAAAGTCTCTTTTACTCATTCATTGAGGGGACAAATAGCATTGAAAATATTATAGACTTCAGAGTGCAAGAGATCTGACTCCTAGCCCTGTCATTTCCTCCTAGTAATGTGAACTCAAGTAAGGGCTTAATCATTCTAAGTCCCAAATATCCCAAATCAGATTAGCAAATAAGGCTAGTGGGGTGAGGGGAGGGCTGTCCCATGGACAAAGTTATTGATAAGTGGACAGAGGAGGAAATAACCAAGGTATCCAAGGAGACCCCATGAAAATCCTGCTGCAAGTCTGGCACTTGCAGGCAAGCCCCTGGCAGCGAGGAGAGGCGAGAAGAGTTCGTTACTTACGGGACTCCGATCTCAAAGATGTTGTTCTGGATCAGCTGCTTCCCCAACATGATGATGCTGAGCTGAATGCAGAGCTCCATGAGGCAGCCCCCTGGAGCACACTGCAGGAAGGAGGAGATAAAAGAGGGCCGATTAGACCGACTGGGGCTCGGAGAAGCCAGGGCGTCAGGAAGCCCTGCTGTGATGAAGGTAAGAAGGGGGCTGGGGCCGGGGTGCACCCACAAACCACTGGTCAGGCATGAACTCCAGTGGCTGTACTTGCCTCTTCCATGCGGTAACCATCGAACACATAGACATAGCTTCCAGGCCTTCCCACAAACCTGAAATCAAACCGTGTGGGAAGAGTTAGCAGAGAGACACAATAAGAGGTTGCTTGAAGACTGACTCTTCTTCTGGGGGGAAACAGCTACCATCAATATCCTCCTCTAAAGCACTGCCCAGGAAGGCTACTCAGGGAAGGGAGCTCACACCTGTTATGGGCTAGCAAATCACCTATTGCACCTGTTTACTTCTTAACCCAGTCAAACCGTGGGATGGGGGTGAACTGGGCAGGGGCTGAGGCTGGGCCTGGTGGGGCTTTGTGGTGTGCATGTACGTGTGTGTAATTTCTGAGGCTAAGCACAGTGAAGTCTGGATTAGCTCTAAGTGTACAGTGCATGCACCTTCCTCCCTTCACTAGTGCCAAGAACTGAGTTCTGGTTGCAGGAAAGGAAAGATGAGATGGACTAAAGTTGCAGGTAGGGATGCCTGGGATCAGAACAAAAATTCCTGACTTACTACTAAAAATATTCAAAGGAATGGAAGAAGCCTACCTAATTCCTCTTCTAAGTAGAGTCTATTTTATTGGGGGGGACAATAAGACCCAGCAGGTGAGGAAAGTAGAGAGGTAAAAGGCAACCATAGCACCAGACACACAATCAGAAGAATCCTACTTAGGCACACAGGCATCCCCTTGTGCACCTGCTGAAGTCCTACATAGCCCTTTAAGGCTCAGTGTTCATCTTTCCTTCTCTGAAGTCTTCTTGCTATATCTGCTCATAATTGTCCCTCTAACAGTGTCTTTATACTTCTCATCATAGCACTTACTGCACATGTAGTGTGCTGCAGTTAAGCCTATCTCTTCCAATATTCCAAGGTTCGGCTGAGGATCAGGACCTTCTCTCCTTTTTCACCTACTATCATATGTGTGTAATTTGCCATTGCTATTAAATCTAGACAGAACGTACCAATGATGTAGATACTCATTAACATGGGCAGTCTCTCTGCTGCTATAATTCGTGACAGCCAAGGGCAAAAACATCGAGAGGTAGTTGTGTTGGGTCATAAACACCCTTACACGATGTTATCAAACGTGGATGAGATTGTTCTCACTATCATGCCTACTCAATGAGCTTTTAGGTCTAGGGATGCTTTCCTGATATCATTGGTTAATGTCTATTGATAAATCTTCTTGTAAGTGGCCAATGGGGATGACCATACAAAAGAAAAAGAGTGATTTTATATTCAGAACTATTGTATAATGAAAAAAATTTTTTAGCCCTTGCTCCAAGCAATAGAAGTATTATATTATCTATGGTGGACCCCTAGGACTATACCTAAGTTCCTGCTAATAAGATTACTCAGGATGGGGCACTCTGTTTGGGCTGTGAGCCATGTAATAGCAGCCTGACCTCAGGGCACTAGAGATTTGAGTCCAGTCATATGGCAAATGCTTTAATCAATCGTGCCTAAGTAATGAAACTCCAGTAAAAACTCTAGATACCAATCATGAGCATACTCCCTGGTGGATGTGCCAGGAGGGCAATGCATCTTGAGAACACAGAAGCTTCATGATTAAGACACTCCACCAGAACCTTTACCTATTTGCTGGTTTGGATTTATTCCCTTTACTATTATACACCTTCAGTTGTGAGGATAGCATGTTTCAGAGTTCTGTGAGTTATTCTAGTGAAATACCAAACCTCATGGGGTAGTAGGAACCCCAGAATTTATATAGACAATGGGTCAGAATTGCCATGGGCTGAGAACCCCAGGTGTGCAACTGCTGTCTGAAGTGAGAGTGGTCTTGCAGTAAGGGTGGCCTTGTACCCTTAACCTACGATGTCTGCATTAACTCCTGGAAATTAGTATCAGAGTCACACTGTAACACCCAAGAGCCACTGGGTAGACATGAAATTACCTCCTGCTTCTTTCTCAAAGTTGGGAGATGCCAATTCTAAGATTCTCCCTCAGGGCCCAATCATATTCCTGTAAAGTTGTCCTTGTTATCGGAATCTGAAGATGCTACTTCAGAATTATTTAGGGTTAATATTCCTGCTACATGAGCAGCCAGGTAGAAATGGGGGTAGAGAATGGGACCAGGGTGTGAGTGATAATGGGGACAGGCTGACCCTACTTATCCTGACAGTGGAGGGCCCAGTCTTACTGACAAATCACCTTTCTATGTGTGACACCATTATACTCACCTCCCCTTGAAAAAGGCCACATAGAAGATGGGGGAGTAGGCATTGACAAACTTTAGCAAGAAAGCTTTGAGGATCAAGCGCTCTTCAAAAGTCTGTTCTGTTTTTGGAACCTCTGCAAATAGAAAAGCAAAGCTGATGCGACTGAGGTGAGATTGTTTACCTCTCCAGAGTCTTGACCTTGACATGAGCCATTGTCTCTCAACTGACCCCTTCACTGTAGAAACCAACTTCTCTCTGGCACATTAGAACTGAATTCATCTGGGAGGCACCAGGTAATTTGTGAGATAACATGAGGCTATAGAAGGTAAAGGGCACATGGGACCACCATCTTTGTCCTTCCATCTCTCTCTTCTTGTCCACTTAAGCAATGGTTTCAAGTTGTGCTCCTCAAAGACGGCCCTGAGCAGGCAGAGCTTCTGACTAGTCCCCTTAACCACATGAACGGGAACTCAGCTTTCATCTAAATAATTTCCATGAGATTTTGCTTGAACAAAGGTCTCTAAATAAAAAAGCTTGTTAACCAGTGAACGAGAATTAGGAGGGCGCCATCACATTGGTCCTCTTCCTCTCTTCCTTCATTTTCAGCAGGAAGCATTTGTTCCCATGTCCTCTAGGGAGGCAAGACATCTCCCATTCACTCACTCAAGTGATGAAGCCCCATCAGATAAGATCAGTGAAACAAACACGGCCTGGACCCAACGTCCCACACTCATAGGTCACAGTCCCAGTATGCTCTACAGGTCCAAGAAGAACTAGCTGACATTCTTAGAAGGACCTGAGAAACTCTGAGCAGGAACTTCGCAGTTGCTTTCACAAGACTTAAGATACAAGGGGAGGCCCAGGGAATAACTGTGCAGGAAGCATGGGATGGGCTCCGCAGACAGTGACACATGGCTTGATAACAAAGATGAGAGGGTATGGGGTGTTCTTACATCATTTGAGCCGCTATAATAAAATGCCACAAACTGAGCAGTGTATAAAACCCAGACATTTATTTCTCACAATTCTAGAGGCTTAGGACTCCAAGATCAAGGTAGATTCAGTGTCTAGTCAGGCTGCTTTCTGGTTCCCAGACAGCACCTTCTCACTGTGCCCTCATGCGGTGTAAGGGTGAGGCATGTCTCGCAGGGCTTTTTTACGACCCCATTTATGAAAGCAATGCCCTCATGAACTAATCACCCCCAAAGGGCCCATTCCTAATTATCATCACTTTGTGGGTTAGGATTTCAATATAGGAATTGGAGGGACACAAATATTAAGCTCATAGCATGAAACTACGCTCTTCAGAGGCAGAAGAAAAGCACTACTCCTGCGTTATGTGGGCTGAGAGACAGTCTAAAAACTCCAACATGGAGTTCTGTGTCCAGATGACACTGATGTGTGAACCTGCCTGATTTAAATACACATAGATGTGTAGGATCATTGACAAAATGGACACAAAACCCTGCTCTCTCCACTGAATGCACTGTCCTGATCCGATCCATCTCTTTATGTACAAATCCTTTGCATTCCTCTCCAGATCAAATATTACCCATGATCTCCTTCCTGAAGCTTTCCCAGATGCGTTAGCTAGTAGCAATCCTTTTCCATTTTCTTCTCTAGTATTTTCTATCTCCCTCTATTAATTACCTACCGCCATGCCCTTGAACATTAACAGTAATAGTAGCTATCACTGCCTCTGTGAACTTGTTTGGATTCCCCTTAAGTCAAGGGTTTAGGAGTAAGTAGCGTATTGGGGAGGTACCCCCAGGAAGGAAGGCTAGTGAGGGAGTAGGATGGTGAGGCAGAGAAGGAAGGACCCAAGACAAATGTGCCCATGAAGAGATTAGTACTGCAGTCAGCGGGGCTCCATCCCCCTGGGTCCACCTCAGGGCAGGTGTGGGGCACACTTCAGAATCAGCACACTGAGGGGAGAGCAAGCAGGAGGCCCTCACTGGCTGCAGGTCACTGTCTAGGTCAACCGCCTGGCACTTCCAGCCTGCACTGCGCACAGGCTGAGCCTGCACCTACCACCAAAGAAGCTACTGTCTGAAGTGACCTCCCGGCTGGGACAAAGGGATGTAGGTGCAGCATAAGAGCATCTGCTCCGCAGCATAAGAGCATCTGCTCTACAGAGAGCATCATACGCAGGCATGTGCTTTCATTGTCCTACTTCATCCTCGCCGCCCTGTGAGAGGCAGGTGGTATTATGTTTCACTTTCATAGATTAAAAAAACTGAGGCCAGGAGGTTACAGCCTTACTCTAAATCACACAGTAAGTAATTGATGGAGGTAACATTTGAACCCAGATCTGCCTGCCTCTAGAGACAGTTTTGACTACAACACACTTTGAAATCAGGGTGGGATACATAACTCTTTGCATCACACTCTTTGGCCTCCCCATCCTCCACCCCCAGCTTAACACGATGCACCTAAAAAATACTTGTCACTCTCAGTTCATATCTACTGAGCACTAGCTATGGGCCAGCTGCCATGCTAAGATGGATAAAGATGTCCCCTGCCCCCGTCCTTCAAGGAGCTGCATTGAGCAAGGTCTCCATGGAGAGCGGTTTGCTCACTGCCAAGTCTTGTCCAGACAGAACTGTGGGCAGCAGAGTATCATCTCCTCTTTCAAGGCAGAGGGGGGCCCAGGAGAAGAGGGAAGGCTGTATTGCCTTGACCACAGTGCAGCAAGCCCTGATTCACTGTCCATCTTGGAACGCATTTTGAGTTTTTATGTACTGCACAACTGTATGTGCAATGAACACCCTTGAGTGGAAAACCAAAGCTCCTCAGACTTCCCTGAGCCTTTGAGAGCCACTCATGCATCCTTGGAATCTGGAGACCCAGGCTTGAAAATCATCAACAAGGTCTCTGCGTGGGACAAAGCTGCCAGGGAATCTCAATGGGACTGAGAACCATGGTGAATAGGATTGCTTGGCTGAACGTCTTCAACTACATAAGGCATGGTACAGGAAATAGTGCATTTGATAAAAATATTTAAATAGATTGGATAAATATACATATAGATACATACAGCTTTTAATATTAAAAATCCATCTATAGCACGGGTTATGGCAGGGAGAAGAACCCTGGAATATAAAAACAGACCCCACAAGAGTCCTGCCGGCATGAGGCCTCTGGGCCCTTTGGGTCAGATAGTGATGCTGCTGAGAAGTAAGTAGCATATTTGGGGGCTCAGCCAGGGCTCCTCAAACTCACATCCTCTTTCTGGAGACACAGCTAGATGACAGCAGTAGGAGTGAGCTGGGCCAGTGTGTTGCCGTCAGCCTCTGCTGTGAGCTCTTTGCTCTGTCTCTCTCCTCTCATCTCCTGGAAAATGCGTCAGAGCCCCAGAAGATGGTGGCACCACCGGAAGGAGGAAGCCCAGACCCCTGTCCACCAAGTGGAGAGCTGTGCTCCAAGCATTCGGCTGAACTGCGCCAGGGACAAGAACTAAAAGTTGGAGGTGTTTTTACACCTCCAGAAAGTGCTTTAGCAGCTAAGGTACTTAAAGTCACTCCTGTAGGTGGTAAAGGGGACTCTGGGAGGGGCAGGTCCTAAGACAGCTGTGACATTCCTAAAGGAAGAAAAAGGCCTTCCCTGAATAGAGGCCTGGGGAAGT